TATAACAATCTTCATATAATTGTCAATATTTTTATTTTAAACATTCAAAAATAAATTTAGTTTTATTGTGGTAAACTAATTTGGACCACTAAACATATATTATTGGAGTGTAAAATTTAGAAATAAAAAAATAGCTGATATAAATGCGCCTAAAAAATACTAAGAAAAACTCTGTTCTACATTTTGCAAATAATAATTCTATTAATGATAACCGTTATTATAAAATAAGACCTGTCACAGATCGGGTTAGACAAAATTGTTTAAAAATTCAAGAATAAAGGACGAATTTAGATATTCATTTACAAAATCTAAATTCGTCAGATATACATGTATAAATCAAAGTCTTACGTTTATCAATTACAATTTTATTGGAAACGATTTAGTAATTTAATTTCAACTTTAACAAAACCTATTGAATCAAAATTTAATTACGCGTATTTCTGATCTTGTCAAGTTAAGGGTTAATCAGACTGTCTCTATAACTGTTTCAAACATATTTTACACTCCAATATATATTTTACAGTTAAATCGTTTTCTCGTCTAGTTTTTTTAAGCAACTCGTTTCGAACATATTTTTGACTTGAACAGATTTTCTCCAGTGTGAATTCTTAAATGATTTTTTAAGTAGCCTTAATCAGCAAACTGTTTCGAACATATTTCACATTTGAACGATTTTTCACCTGTGTGAATTCTTAAATGATTTTTTAAATAGTCTTTATCAACAAACTGTTTCGAACATATTTCACATTTGAACGGTTTCTCTCCTGTGTGAATTCTTAAATGCACCTTTAAATGGCCTTTCTGGATAAACTGTTGCGAACATATTTCACATTTAAGAGGTTTTTCTCCATTGTGAATTCTTAAATGCATTTTTAAATCGTTTTTCCGTACAAAGGCTTTCGAACATGTTTCACATTTGAACAGTTTTTCTCCTGTGTGAATTCTTAAATGCACTTTTAAATCGCTTTTCCGCACAAACTGTTTTGAACATGTTTCACATTTGAACAGTTTTTCTCCAGTGTGAATTTTTAAATGCCTTTTCAAAGTTTTTTTATTGCTGAACTGTTTCAAACATAATTCACATTTGAAAAAGTTTTTACGAGTGTGTATTTTCGAATGATTATTTAAATTTCTTTCGGTTAAAAATGTTTTAGAACAAATTTCACACTGCAACAGTTTTTCATTGCAGTAAAATATAGTATTTATTGCAGGTGGATGTCCGACTATGGGATGTAAACCATTTTTACACCGACAATGTTTTTGTTGTCCATATTTTCGCTTATAAACTTTTGTTACTTTCTTAACATAATGATCAACAAAAAAATGGTATAGAAACTGTGTCTTTGTAAGAAAAAACTGGCCGCAATAGAAACAAGTTCCGTAGAATCTTCCAAAGTGGCCGTTGAACAAATTTTTTCTAGGCGGCCTGAAAACTGAAACGAAAAATTATTAATTTTAATGCGGCATTACTAAGTGGTATATACACATACACACAATAAAAGGTAAAAATCTTTCACTATTAACTTTTTTATTAGGATTTATTTTGTTGTTCTCCTGCTCGACCGTCGCAGAGTTAAATATTAGCAGAGATCATTCTTTATAATCTGGAAAAACTAATCTTTACTAGTTTCAACGGTTGAGTACCAACTGAGCGCATTTCCCGGTGGTACATCAGAGAACATCCAGATTTTTCTTGTTTAGTGGTAGACATAAGTAGAATGAAAGAGCCTAATAACCTTCAAAATATTTTGCGAAGGCTACCGCCCCGAACTAACTCCCCCAATTTAAAGTGTAAAAAAAAAACTTTAAAAAATCAAGGTGCTCTGCTGGGTTCGTTCTAAGCTAGTAAATTACCGTGTTTTTTTAAAAATACCACGTTTTTTAAAAAGTTTTATATTTCAAGAGCCTAAAAATAGTCTAAACATATTCTCTACCTATAATTTTTGTTCTATACAAAATGTTTCTAATATGATTCGTATTCGAGAAATTTTTCAAAATGTAAAAATTTTTGATTTTTAAGAAAATTGTTAAACTGAAAGATGTTTGGGATATCGATCTCTATAATTTTTGGATTTTACACGATTTCTCTAAAATGGACAGTAATGGAAAATTTGGAGGAAAAGTATAAAATTTAAATTTTTCAGTATTTTCGTTGGCAATGAGTGTATATAGAAAAATGTTTCGAGTTAAATGTATGTGGAAAATGTATATATTAAGTTAACCTCTAAATATTTACAGAGGTGCTACAATAGATTGTACAAAATAACCGAAAAAAGTCTGTAATAACTAGATTGGAAAGTCAAGTGTTTTTTATTTAGAAAAGTTTTATATTTTAAGATCCTAAAATTGACCCAAAAATGTGCAGTTGGTTTTTAGAAAAAAAAAATAAAAAACTTAAAAACTGGAGTGTTTTGTTGGATTTGTGCGAAGCTAGTAAAGCACCCTGTATTTTTTAAAAAAAATACCATTTTTTTCGAAAAGTTTTAAAATATTTCAAGAGCCTAAACATAGCCTAAAATTGTAGCATTAGTTGTTTTCAGTAAAAAATATTAATAAAACTTGGTGCTCCGTTAACTTTGGTCAAACAAAGGTTCTTGTATTATTTAAAAAAAAAATTTGTAAATTTTATTAATATTTTAAAAGTTGAAAAAATAGTCTAAAAATGTGGTGTGGTTGTTTTTAGAAAAAAAAAAAGCTTTAAAAACGCAAGGTTTTCTGCAGGCTTCGTAAAGCATCCTGTATTTTTTAAAAATATTATTTTTTTTTTTGAAAAGTTCTATATTTAAATTTCAAGAGTCTAAATATAACCTAAAAATATGTTCTGTTTAGAAAAATACAATTTTTTTTAAATAGTTATATAATATTTCAAAGCCTAAAAATAGCCTAAAAATGTGGCTAGTTTTTTTTTTCAGAAAAAAAAATAAAAAATCGAGGTGCTTTGCCGACTTTGATCTATTTTTTTTTTCGCTCCGTGCGAAGTCATGGAAAGGGAAGCAAAAGCGATACTAGCGTTAGCTGCGGATCATTCGTGCATTTTAGGGCGATATATCAAATCGTATCAAATACACGTATACATTTTACTTTTTTTCAAAAAAGTAGGTAAAAATATAATAAGCAACAAGAGTTGCTGTGTTGAAAATTGACGTACCTGAAGTCCTAAACGTTTTTTTTTAACGAAAATATAAAAAAAAAATCAAGGATTAGCTAGCATCTCGCTAGAAATCATCACATAGCTTACCTGCGGTTACCAAAAAGTAGACAAAACTATATTTTGCTGACAAACCCGAAATTAACCCCTACACTTAGATAAACTCACCCCATAAAGATGTATAAACTACAAAGAAACATAATCAGGGGTAATATCGTCCTAGAAATTCGAGAGAATCTTCCTCGTGCTAGAAAAAAATCATTATCGACGTAGGGCCACGGGAACTACCCCTTTATTTAAATAAACACCCTTTAAAACCTTAAAAAATTCAAACAAGCCTAGTATCGACCTGAAAATTTATAATAATCTCTCTCGTGGTTTCTTGAAGCTAGAAAAAATCATCATCGACATAGAGCCAAGGGAACCACCCCTTTACTTGAATAAACACACCCTCTAAAATCTTAGACAATTCAAAAAAATTTAAACAAACTTAGTATCGACCTGAAAATTCGTAGCAATGCCTCTCGTGGTTCCTTGAAGCTAGAAAAAAAAATCATCATTGACATAGGGCCACGGGAACTACCCCTTTATTTAAATAAACACACCCCTTAGAATCTAAAAAAAATTCAAATAAATTCAAACAAGCCTAGTATCGACCTGAAAATTTATAATAATTTCTCTCTTGACACCTTCAAGCAAGAAAAAAATCATCATCAACATAGGACCACGGAAACCACCCCTTTACTTGAATAAACACACCCTCTAAAACCTTAGACAATTCAAAAAAGCCTAGTATCGACCTGAAAATTTATAATAATCTCTCTCGTGGTACCTTCAAGCTTGAAAAAACCATCATCGACATAGGTCCACGGGAATCACCCCTTTACTTGAATAAACACACCCTCTAAAATATTAAAAAATTCAAACAAGCCTAGTATCGACCTGAAAATTTATAATTTCTCTTTCTACATAAGTTTAAACTCAGGCCGCACTTTCACTGCTGGAGTTTGGAGTGGGGGGATAGTTGAACATAAAGAACAGAATTTTCTTGTGGCAAGAAATTTTTTCTTGGGCTAAGTGGTAATCCTACTTGCTGGTAGCAAATCAACTCTTCTTTCAAAAAATGTTTAACTTCAAACAAGAAATTAATCTTTGATTAAAGAATCAAATTCCAAGAAAAATATATACTTAACCCAAAACACTGATTCGTTAATTCTAGAAGTGTTTACCAAAAACTTTTATGAAGATCTTAAACATTAATCATTTTGATACATCCAATTATTCAAAAGACAATGAATATGAAATCCCTATAACCAAATCAGTCGTTGGAAAAATGAAAGATGAGTTTGGTGGTACACCAATTGCTGAATTTTATGGAACTTGTGCCAAGGTGTACTGTATAAATTTAGGTAAACCGTTTAAGAAGATGACTCAAATAAAAAAAGCCAAAGGAGTGTCAGCAAATATAGTAAAAAACCAACTGCATTTAAATGACTATGTCCGAATTGTACAAAATGATGACACAATCTACAGAAAAATGTATGTTTTTGTATCATCACTACACACCATCTACACAGAACTTAGAAATAAGGTCGCTCTTTCAGCTAAAGATGATAAAAGGTATGTCATACCACATGATGTCAATGCTCTAGCGTGGGGGCATTTTCTTACCAATCAAAAAGCGATGACTGGTACATTGGATGATTTATTACAAACAATGGATGATCTCATTAATTTAGATAATTTTGTTTTACAATAAAAATTTATATTATTTACTAATGTTTTTTATTTTTTCACATAATTTTATTACAGATTATGAAGGGCTAAATTACACAAAGTACAATCATTTTGGCTACCAACCCCCCATCAACCTGATCTCTCCAGTTAGGTCTATTAAAATGTATGAGCAGGGTAGCCTTGTTTGAAGGTTGAAATCTTGAGTGTATTCTGTAGGTAATTTATGCCATGCATAAAGAAGTTCTGATGGTTTAGCTTTATCCAGCAAGTGTTTTAATGGGAAATATTCTAATTCTTCTTCCGTAAAGTTGTACAAACTTTTACCTTTTCGATGTTCATCTACTAATTTCATCTTCATACAACAACACTTTTCCATATCTTCAGAGTATATTTTATTATCAATTCTATTACAAGTACTATCACAAGCAATGTAGTTATTACTACTAACGTGTTATCGATGTAATCACTTTCTTTTATATAGTAAGTATAGAGTTGATTCCAGTTGGTACTTTCAACTTTATTATTCGTCCATTCAAGTCTTAACTTGTATTGTGTACTATTATTGGGGATTAGAGATGTGAGTGTAGGAATATTATTGGCTTTGTAAAGTTCCATTTTTTTCCAGTTTGTATCGTTATCATTGAAGCAAATGAAAACATCTTTAGCTCCGTATGGATAATGAATAAAAAGTGAACCATTAACAATGGCTTGTAAAATTATAAAGTGTGAAGGCAACATCTTAAAGTAAACTAACATTTATTTTTGATTACATTCTATTTATATATTGCTTATGTTGGTAAACCTGTGTAAAAAAAGAAGACACTGGTAAATAAAAATAAAAAAAATGGATATTATTTTTTATTAAATCTGTTTAAATTAGAAAATACATTATCCCATTTTTTATATTCTTCAATATTCAATACTTCAATACTCTCTTTTGAAAACTCCTCATCAAATTTTAATTGTTTTCTAACTTTGTCCAATAATAAAGGTTGGATTTTTCTTCTTTTGTGGGAATCATCATCCTGCATTTTTGTTGGATAAATTAATATTCTCTTCTACACCTAATGCAAAGTAATACTTCTTCACTGTACAATCTTCTTAAAAACTGATGTTCAAAATAACAATAGTTACAATTATAAATATATATAATTCTTGCTGGTTTAAAAGGTGTGTTGGACTCCATTTACAACACTTTACCTTCTACTCAGACTCACTGCTGGAAATATTAACTTCATCTTCAATATATACACAATTTCCCCACTTCATATGCAATGGTCGATGTCTGCAGAAGCGGTTAAACAGGTCTAGACGTGTATCTTAAGGTTATCAGAGGTCATTCTAAACAAGTTTTCTGTGAATGTCATTAAACAAATAACGATTTTTTTCTTTCAAAGTTTTGTATATTGTTACAATGACTAGTAGTAACAAAAACGTATAAAAATATACATCTATAATGAATAGTAAAAGAAATAACGCTAAAATAATTCGAAAAAACGAATATTTTTCTTCACCTGTTCTTTTTGCAGACTCCATCATTTTAGCATAACTACAATTAGGACTAAACTTTAAATGATCATGAATCGGTACATCGCCAGGCTTCCATTTGTTAATTTGAATATCGCATTCAAAACATCTAACAACATCTTCTTTACCAATATAGTGAAATCCAGCCAGTGCCAACTCTATTGGGGATACATTACCAGTCCAATTCTCAAATGACTTTAGTCTGTGATCAAACGATTCCAATAGGTGTGAGTAATCGTCAGAGTGCATTGTAACTTTGTAGAACAAGTCTATTGTACTTGCTTTAAATACATTTTAAAAGTGGTGGGGGTTAGATAAAACATTTTAACGTTTTTTAATTTTATTGTATCATAAAATTATTGTATAAAAAAAACATTTGATATGGCACAAACGCCATTATTTTTAGTATGATAGAAACATTTGGATTCCATTGGTTGAAGTGCTGGTTGTTTATCAAACTCGTAAACTGGTACTTGGGAATATTTTTTTATGTAATTTGCTTTTTCCATTCCCTTAACATAAATCATATCAGCTTTTTCTGATAAAAATTTTAGGATATTACCAAATTGGTGTACTGGAGTGGAGCCAACATTCCAATCAATATAATGGTAATTATTCATTAACCAGATTGCTTGACGGTGCAGATTAGGAGACAGTAATCTTAGAGGGAATGGTGGTTTGAATACATAATGACATATGCGAATGCCATCGAAAGCAGCAAATTCTTTTACCAGAAATTTATTGTTTTCCAATTTAAATCCTTGTACATCCACAACAAGTTGTCTCATAGCTTTAATTTTTGAAATTTTTTGATAATATTTTGCATTTGTATGTAGAATTCGATATCTTGTTGAAGTTTCCTTAAATCACGCAATTGACTATCAAGTCTTTGTTCAAAAGTCATATTGAATGAATTAAATATTCGTGACGGGGTTTTATAGCTATATTTGCACATGCGCATTATTGTTGTTTAACAATCTTGGTTGTGGGATTATATGAAAATTGTTTTTCATGAAGAATAAGAAAATATGCTGAAATATCTGCCGATGTTGGTTCATTCGTTTCAAATTCAATTCTTAATACAATACTACCCGCTTGTAAAACTTCTTTTTGTCTTGAACAGTAAATATGAATTAATGGTGCATTATTTTTAAAATCGACTGGATTATATATTGGCTGATTCAGATGAAGGTCGTAATAGCTTTCTTGAAAATTTGCAAACATTTCATACAAAGTAGCAAATTTATTATTATCAAAATCCAAGTTTAAATCATTATAGGGATATCTTTCCGAATTTAAAAATACTATGATATTGTTAAGTTTACAATGATAGAACTTACTCATGTCGCTTAATATTTGACTTTTTCTATTTTTTTGAAAACCAATAATTACATGCCTCGGTGTCTCTACTTTTGAACTTGTTTTTACTACCCATGTATTTAATTTTGAAGAACTTAGGGATGGATATTGTATCATTTGCCATGATCGAAATTTAATTGGTAATTCTTTATTGCTTTTACTAATATTAGTTAGTCGAAGTTGTTGACTTAAGCTAGGTTTTATGTGTGGTACTGACCAATATAATCGATTTAATTCAATTTTTGGATTTTCAGTTTTATCGGTACTTATTACACTATCGATGTCATCACTTGATCGAATCAATACTAGTTCTTGTTTCATATTTAAAATTATTTTTTTATAGTCTTCAAAGAAACCTGATAACATTTTCAATGGTATGCAAACATTAAAGTTCCCATTTTTATCTACTAATATTTTTTCAGTTTCTACAGTCATAACACCTTTAGAATCTGTCGCAATTGTTTTTATTTCTTTAGGATACCACCCAGCATTTTGCATTAGTACACTTTCGTTTTCATTAGGACTTAAATAATTTTTTATTGTTGAAGTTAAACCCAGGTCTCTTACGGAATCTATTACGACCCCATTTAATTCATAACGTAGCTCACGAAATAAAAATGCTATTGCTATAAAATTTATAAATTTTAGTTTAGTTGGTACATTTCCTGCATCAGTTAATAACTTTCCTTCAATATATAAAAAAACTTTGTGATGGTAGTGTATAAGAATCAAGCTCTTGAATGGGGATTCTAATCTCATCGTTGTAATTTAATTTACCAGGAATAAATGGTTGATAATTATGAAATTGACATTCTTCAATACTGGTATCATGCATATATTGACCTGTTACATTAAGAATATCCATTATATTAAGACTTTAAATCCTAGAGAAGTTAAAAACTTTTTATTACTAGATGTTATTACCGCTATTGGTTTCGCGATACTAATAGTTCTTTTCTGATTTGGTAATCTTATATAGTTTTTATATGGGTGGGAAAATTTTAAAATCATTATACTTTTCTAATATGAAGAGTAACCGTAATCTCTTCTTCCCGAAAATTTATTAGATCTCCGGATTGATCAATAATTTTAACAGTAAGGTTGTTGATCGTCTTAACGCTTACGGGATAATATAAAATATTTTGAGGTGACTCCACTATTTTATACCCACTGGGCACAGTCGGAAAAAATTGATGTATAATATGAACCGGTTTTCCATTTAAATATGAACCAGCAGCAATATTACAGTCAATACCTATAGAATTCACCTTTAAAATTTTAATGGGGTGATTTGATGTATAACTTTTACCTGGGTCAAGCCTTTTGCTATCGAAACCAAATACTTTTGCAATCGAATTAGGGTTATTAAAAGAAATAATACGATTACTTGATATAGAAATGTTTGATGTATTAATGTCTGGAATGATATCTATTTGAGCATTTTCATCTACGTCATGCATATGTTTTTTTAAAACATGTATGAGTTCTTCCAATTCATAAGCACCAACTTGTACTTTAAATGTATTAAGTTTCTTATTGTCACCCCATACAAATAAATTATTCCTTTCATCAATATTAGGAATTGTGTTAAAACTAACTAACCCTATTTCATAATCAATATTCTCTTCTAAATAAATTGCAGGGTTCAAATCATAACTCAAAATTGAAGAATTGCCAGTCAGTGTAAAAGAGAAAGCCATATTAACTCAACCAAGAAATCTCTTATAATGAAAAAGTATTTTAATTATATTGATTATATAGGAAACCTAAACAATAATGACCACATTTATAGGAATTTTTTTGAACTCTATTATAATTATAAATTATATTCACATCACTATTACTATAAAAATATTTAATTAGTTCTAATGGAGGAGATAAATTTCCAAAACTATCAAAATATACAATATTCCCATTTTGTTTGGTATATGCAGTCCAGTGTGTTCCAGGTCCTTTACTTGAATCCATATTTAAAATACCTGATTCATTTTTATGGATTCTATGTGGTAATGAATCTCTCATAAACACACCTCTAAAGTGTGGTATTTTTAATATTTTTACAAATTTTTTTAAATCAATGTTGGTAAGTGCTCGTTGTGGTAACATTAGTTTTTTGCCTTTTGATTTTTTTTATATTTTCTTTTTGATCGCAAGCCCTTTCCTTTATAAGGTCTTAAATATAAACCTTTTCCTTTAGTTTCCATTTCTAAATTGTGACGTTTTTGCTCTTCAAGTTGTCGATTTGTTTTGGCATCATTTACAGCCTTGGCAATTCCAGCACCCATGCCACCTAACCCAGCCAACGCAGATATAATAGGGATTAATAAAGGTAAAAATCCACCTTTTTTCGGTGTTCGAATTATTCTTTTTTTAGTTTTTTTACTCGTTTTCTTATACCCATTCCAAATTTTCGTTTACCTTTCATCGCAGTTGTCACAAACCATGCAGCTGTTTTTTCACCTAACTTAGCGTCTTTAGAATTAACTCTCTCCCAAGCTCTATGTTGTAAAATTTTATCTGCTCGGTGTCTAGTTTTGAGATCTGTATTTTGTAAATATGCTATATCGTGTTCTTTGCAGGCCTCGTCTAATTGATTTATACCTTTATCACCTCTTTGTAATCTCTTATAAACTTGAGTACCAGGACCACAGTAGGAAAACCCCGGAATATGTAATTCAATTGGAAGTTTATTTATCAAAGAATTTAGTAAACCTTTTCCTTTTCGATGTGAACTCCGTTGTTGGTGCTTAACCATTGTGCTATTTATATACTGCAACCCTACTATATATACCCTTAGTCTTCAACAGATTTCATTAACATGAGGGTTGAAAAACAACACATGACTCTACCAGTCAGAAATCACGATTTAGTTGTTAATGATCAGAAACTTAATAAGCATGGATATTTGTTTGGTGGTGATTCTAAAAGATGTTTAGTTGTAGGCCCTAGCGGCTCTGGGAAGACAAATTGTATGCTTTCATTAATTGAACACTCTAACGGATTAAGATTTGAAAATATATATGTGTATTCCAAAAGTCTTCATCAGCCCAAATATAATTACCTCAAAAATTTAGTTCAACCCATTAAAGAAATCGGTTATGAAGAGTTTAATGAACCTACAAATATACCTCAACCTAATGAAATTAAAGAAAATTCGTTAATTATATTTGATGATGTTGCTTCATGTGATCAAAAGATTATTCAAAATTATTTTTGTTTTGGTAGACATAAACATACAGATTGTTTTTATATTTGTCAGACATATAGTGCAATTCCCAAACAATTGATAAGAGATAATTCGAACCTTTTAATAGTGTTTCCACAAGATATGACTAATTTAAAACACATTTACGATGATCATGTTAATATAGATATGTCTTTTAAACAGTTTAGAGATATATGCTCATTTTGTTGGGGTAAAAAGTATGATTTTCTTACTATTGATAAAGATTCTCAATTTAAATATCGGAAAAATTTTGATACTTTTATTCGTATATAAAGAGATTTAGTAATCGAACAATTTAGTTAAAATGGATGAGCGCGTCGCGAAACAACTAATTAAAGCGCTTCAAGCTTTGAAAAAGAAATACAAAAGTCTAAAAAGTGATATAACAAAATCACAAACTCATTTGGAAAAAACATATCAACCAATAACAGACCCCCTTAAACAACTGGTTTCAGTTTTGGGGAAACAAGAAATAATTAAACAAGAAAATTTAACATCGAAATCAGAAAAGTTCAGTTTCTTGCGTAAACCTCCGCGAAAAGATTATACTAAAATAGCATATTCTTCTTTTCCATCACCATTAAGTCAAACAATTAAACATGCTCCAGAACATGAAAGTACTCGTTTAAATGAATCAGAGATTTATGAAAATCAGCCAGACCAAACGTTTGAATATCAGCCAAGAACCAGTGATGAGCAAGTTGATGAATATATAGAAGATACAATTAAAAGTCTACATGATTTAACTACAAACCCACCTCCTTCATTTGTTGAATATCTGGATCAGTTTACTGCACCTTTACCTAGAGATTATATTCTTAGAAATATATCAGATATTGAACATAAATTTGATCATGTTTTGGGGATTTACCATGACATGGAAACTGAAAAATTTCGTATTGGACTCTGAATTAAACTTTGATGGTTCGGATATTGTAATAAAAGCCCTGGAACACCAGGGCTTTATGAATTACTTTTTTTAAAAGAACCGATTGCATATAAACAAACTGATGTTGATGAATATGTGGATATAATAAAAAGAACCAATGCTGCTAAAAGAAATAATGATCCGGATTTACCAATTGAAAATTTTTCTAGGGATATTAAGGATAAATACAATTTTATTATTAAACCAAAGTTAGAAACAGGACCGTTTAGACGGAGAGTTTCATCAATACCATCTTCATTATTGAGTGGAATAGTGACAAGGAGTAAAAAAATTGGAAAAGGAATGTTACAATATTCAAATAAACCCATTGATTACAAATATTTTGATAATTACAATGAGTTAATTGATCGACTTAAATTACTAGTAGCATCTCAAGTCGCTGGAAATACTGGTAATAATAATGAGATTGTATCAATCATTGAAGAGTTAAGAGAAGGAGGTATAATAGTGTAAACATAATTAGATTTTTATCAGTGTAACAATGCCAATCAACAAGTTTGGTGGTCATTTCTTGAGTAATAAAACCAATGTTTTAAATCTTACTTCTCCATTTTATATTTGCGACGCAGTTTCATTTCATAGTAAATGTTTTATCAGATTAAAAGGAGTTAAACGAATAAAGAATAATAAAGAGTTTTATATTTTGGATAATCAAGGAACTGCTTTTGTTTTTCCCATATCAGGTGAAATCGAAAGTTGTAAACACTATAGTGCTGATGGCGAAATTTTATTAAATTCCAAGCCATATAAATATCATCAATTATCAGGGATTTACATTAATAAAGGTGATAAAATCGAGTTTAAATTAGGAACTCCGAATGAGATGTGTGCTGATTTTGTCTTTCAATGCCCATTAGAAAAAAATGACTAAGATTCAAGTTGTTAATGAACTACATAAACCAGCTAGAAAAAAATACAAAAGACGTCATGTTATTGTAAAAGGTTTAAATGATTTAATCCAAGCTGATTTGGCTGTAATGATCCCATACTCTAAAGTAAATAAAGGATATAATTATATTTTAGTTGTTATCAATGCTTTTAGTAAATTTGTATGGGCTATACCCGTCAAGAAAAAAACCGCTAGAGATGTTACACAAGGTATGGCACAAATTTTGTCACAAATGAAACTTCCTAAAAATTTACAGACTGATAATGGAAAAGAATTTTACAATAAGGAATTCCAAGAACTTATGCGAAAATATGGCATTAATCATTACAGCGCTTTTTCCAATTTAAAAGCCAGTATAGCTGAGAGAGTAATAAGGACGCTTAAAGCATCATTGTGGAAAGAGTTTAGTTTACAAGGATCATACAAGTGGTTAGACATTCTACCTAAAATTGTTAATAAATATAACAACACAAGACATTCAACTACAGGAGCTATACCCAGTAAAGTCAATGATAAAAATGCACATTATATAATCGCATATGATAATTTAAAAACTATTGATCCACGTAAACCTAAGTTTAAGCAGGGTGATTATGTTCGTATTAGCAAGTATAGACATGTTTTCACTAAAGGGTATACACCAAATTGGACCAATGAAATTATTAAAGTTAAAAAAGTTAAACTAACAAATCCAACTACTTACATATTAGAAGATGAAAAAAAAGAAGAAATTCAAGGTGGTTTCTATACTGAAGAATTGCAAAAAGTTAAATATCCTGATATTTTCCTAATAGAAAAAATTATTTCTAAAAAAGGGAATAAACTTCGAGTAAAATTTCTTGGAATGGATAGTTAACATAATGCTTGGATAAATAAAAATGATATAGTATGATATGTATTTATTTTTTTTAAATAAAAATTTAAGTAATAAATATTCTTTTATTCAGTAAAACATAATAATGCTGAATCATTACACATATTTCGTTTCGGGTAGTAGAGTGGTTGACCATACTCTTTTATTGACTCCTGATTTTTTTCTTCTATTTCTTCAATTAAACGCTTTTCATCCTTTTCATATAATACCTTAGATTTGCATATAATGCTATCGTCCTCATCACAAGAATTATATTCGTTTTTATTTTCAGACAATGCTACAATCCATGTGGTTGATTCATTATTGGGTACTTCACAGCTGAGTTGATTACCATGCTCACCATCATCCTCATTAAGATAGTATTCATCAAATTCCATAAAACAAATTGGGTTAGTGATTAAGATTGGGACCTCTAAATCAATGGGTTCATGTAGCCAATAAGCAGCTATGACTGCTGGATATCCATAATCCTCAGAAACAGCAGACCATATGTAAATTTTTATATTTTCACAATTACATTTCTTTATGGCTAACCCCAGTCGGTTTATCTTATACTCACTTACTTCATACTTTTTACCACAACACTCGAAAGTTACCTCAATAGTATGTTCGTAACCCATTATGGATAATACAATTTTCTTAATGCTCACCTATTCTTAATGCTTCCTTTTATTATATTACCCCCACATGCAAAGACCCTCCCACTCCAAACATTCTCTCCCACGCCCTTAATAAAAATCTATTTAATTATAATATTTTATTTTTTCATACATTTTATTTCTATGATTTACATCTAAAATTGGATTAATAATTTTTGCTGTTTCTTGAATACGATAATCAAACCTTATTCTATCTAGAATATTACATCTTCTAGCTTCTCTGTTAGCAAATTCCCAGGTAATCAAGTAATGGACTTTATTTTGATCCTCTCTAAAAGTTACTTTCTTCATAGTTGTAAACCTTCTTTAAGTATCTCTGGATGTAGATAAATTAATTTTAAAGCCATCCCATAAGTTACTGGATTTATTTTCTTTAAAGGTTCCATTATCTTGAGACCATCGTTAACTACATCAGCACTGTTTTTAACACCTAGTTGAAGAATTTTTAATGAGCTAACAAAATGCTGGCCTTTTAATGTATCCAAATGATGTGTTATTAATGGTAACGTATTCCATAACATTGCAACACTGCTTGAGCCTAAATAAATGCTGGAATGACCCGTAAATATTCTAATGGCATTTGCTGCGAAAAACTGCTTAAATTCCAAAAAAAAATTACCATTGTCGATAGAATCTTTAGAAGTTATTAACTTTAAAAAATCATCTATCACATTCTTGTAAGAGAGAAAGTCTTGCCACTCTTATTCATTAAAGATTACTAAATCGTTATTGTTTCCAGATATCACAACACATGGTGTAAAGTTATTAATATAAGACAAACATACTGTAACATGTTTACTGTTTGAATTATTTAAATAAAACTTTTCTTCACCAAGAAATACATCTTTAACCATTTCACGATTCATTTTAACACAAACTGATTCATATAATAAATATATTCTCCTTTAATAGAAAAACCCCCACCGAAAGTCACTATACCAGTTAGTATAGGTTATTCTAAAACTTCTTCAAGACTAGAATAACCGGTTATGTAGGTATGGATGTTGAATACGCTTAAGTAGGGGTAAAAATATTCACTTAAAAGTAGGTCTTTCTTTTTCCTCATTTTATTAAACAGAATGGGGTTATATGCATACATTAAAGTTGACGGGGCATTCTTAGATGCTTATGATTGTATGGGATATTTCTATAAGGAATATATGAGAAACGAATTAAATACATTTCCAAGAATAAGGATTTACTCAAAGGTTGAGAGACGATATAATGAATCTTTAGACCTCGTAATCAAAATACATGAAAAATATGTATTGTGTAAACCTAATGAATGTAATGATAATTGTGACAAATGTGTAAAGGATGAAAACACTCAATACCGATGTTTTAATGAGGTTGATGTAATAAGTGATAAAATTGATTTAAATGATTATGTTAATGATATATGTAATAAACTTATTGTAACAATTAAATTAAAATATGCATATCTGTTTGTTTTTGAATTATTTGAATAAACTTGCTCAGACTTGTTTAAGCCTTAACATTACCTTCTCATATAACCAGATAATTTAGTCATTTTCCTTAATCATTACCTCCCCCATCGCTTTTTTGAGCCCCCCATCGCAATATAATCGCATCCTTTTGATTCCTCATCGCAATACAATCGCATCCTTTTGATTCCTCATCGCAATACAATCGCATCCTTTTGAGTCCCCATCGCAATACCATACCATCCTTTTGACTTCCCATCGCAATACCATACCATCATTTTGACTCCCCATCGCAATACCAGACCATCCTTTTGACTCCCCATCGCAATACCATAGCATCCTTTTGACTCCCCATCGCAATACCGTACCATCCTTTTGACTCCCCATCGCAATACCATACCATCCTTTTGACTCCCCATCGCAATACCATACCATCCTTTTGACTCCCCATCGCAATACCATACCATCCTTTTGACTCCCCATGGGGCTGTATCCTTTTGGTCCCCCATTTTTCCTCTACTCTCAGCTTTGCGAAATTCGGCTTTTTGCATCCGAATTTTAATATTCGACAAACTTGCAATTTGGCATTTACGGTTTCAAATTTTCAAATTGTGAGTATGTCAAATAATTAAATTCGGATGCAAAAATCTTATTTGGCCTAACTGAAAAAGAACCTTAAAAATTATTGCTTTTGACAGTCGCACGGTGATGTTTAGGGAAAAGACAAAAATGGTAATAAAATAAAGTTGTGTAGCTTAGGTTTTAAATAGGTTTTATTACTAAATAATTAAAAAAAATCAAATTAAAAATTTACTTATACCGTTATACCTACGTATATATAACGTATATTATATATATAATAACAAATTATAATACATTTTGTACTATATCATTACAAATTTCTCCATATTATAAGTTTATTTCTATTTACATTTCTAAAATTACCATTTATCGTTTTCAATGTGTAATATATTCTAACTCTTAAATATAATCTAACTACAAATTCTTTGGGGAAATATTTACAGGGATGGTTAAAAGCTAAATGATTACTTATATCTAAAAGCATTTGGCAAATATTCCTTTTAGTAGCAAATTTTTCAAAGTTTTCTTGAAATATTTGTTCTATTTTACAAATTAATTCCACAAATTTATTATTAGGCATTTGCAAATTTCCGAAGGTGTCCTTATTTGCATTTTCATATGCCTTAAGGAAACAGTAATAAGATGAATCATCTAGTTCATCATGGTCTTTACTATATTTATTGCATATATCACAAGTGTGAACTCTTAAAGCTTTATTTAAAAGGTACCCACACACGTACCGTATGAAATTTTTTTGCAGCATTTCATTATTTGAATAGTCCATGCTATTTAGTGCGTCTCTTTGTTCCGATACTTTATCCTTATCCTCAGGTACAAAATCCTATTGGCAGTCAGAAAGTCTTAAGAGCATCTGATCAGAATCAGCCTCACAGTTTTCTGTACCTGAGTTAAGCAAGTTGACGCATTGCAACTTTCTAAATGTTCTATGAAACTGTATGGCTGTGGGGTTAATGCAGTTACCGTTTTCACTTCTTATTTTACCGAAATGATTCTCCAGGCAGTCTTGGTTTAATCTTCGTGTAAGTATATACTCAAACCCAGCATTTTCTCGAAGATAGTAAAATAATTGAATAATACTGTTGATTGAAATTATTAAGCTTTTAATAAATTTTATTTTGTTGGCAACGTTTATATTATTTTTGTCTCGAATTTCAAGACTTTTAAAAAAGGACAAGCAATCCATTAAAAACTCTAATTGAAATGAGTTTGCTTTAAAGGTAGCATTATATTTTTTTGAGGCAAAGGTTTGCGAAGAATTTAAAATATCAAAGAGTTGATCTACTCTATTAACAAATTCAGCAGTTTCTGTCGCTTCCGAGGGAAGGGAACCAAATCCTATATAAAAACTCATACCTACATGGACTGAGTAACTAAATACTTGGGTGGCAAGTTTGACCTTCATTTTTTGGAAACTAGTCGGGTAAATATGAGAATCGGTTAATTTGTGTGCTGCTTTAACAGGAAATTTTTTATCTAATTCATAGAAGTCTTTAATATATTGCCACGAATTTTTTTTACAATTAACATAAAAGTCATATTTCATTAACATATTTCTCATCGCTTTAATAATATGTGGCACATCAAAGATGAAAAAGAGATACCGGTTTTCTAAATAAAAACCAGTATTGTCTGGAGATATCTTTAAAATATTTGACAATTTTATATTGTTGGACCCCATATCACAAGTAACTGCAGAAACATTTAACCCCACATTTGTTGTTTTTTGCACAGCTTCATTTAATATTTTATATAATAGATTAGCAGAACAAGAAGTATGACATAAAAAGTAGGCTATCGGCTGTTTCCATTTCGAATAAATTCCCCTTACCATAAGTACACTGACAGTTAAAGTTGGTTTAAAAATCTTTTCCCTTGTATCGCCCATTGCTAGCCCTATGATGTCATCTTGATTTCGTTCATAAAATAAATTTGCTTTTATTGACATTTCATCGAAGCACAATAAACAATATTTGCTTTGAGACTGGAAACTGTCAACTTTTTTTTTTTAATAAAATGAAGAACTCTAGATTATCTAATCCTGGTCCTATCTTAACTGCTCTGATTTCTTTTAGCAAAGTGTTAGGCGAGGGAAGGCTATATTTAGACATTAAATATTTTTTATAAACTCTGGGACCAGCAAAATATATTGATAGGCATTCAATTTTAAATTCTTTGCTGTAACGTCTTCCCTTTGGATGTTTATGCCCCTGTGATACTTGCATATTAACACATTTTGCAATGTCTGGATTGCAAAATTTATATGTTAGGGACATATATTGCTCCAAAGATATATTGTCCAATTCATTATTTTTTTCAAGTACCTCAACCCTTTGTCGTAAATATTTGTTTTCGGCAGTTATGGACTTGATATGCTGCCTGTATTTAACTTTTCTTGGTGTATCGAAGGATAAACTGGCTGACGTTTGGGTAAATGTTGGAGACGTCAGAGAAGGACTGTCTGTAATAGGACTCAGGGCGATCTCATGTTGAACCTCGATTTTGAGCTCGGTTTCAACTAGATTTGTCTGATTAGCTGCAAAAATACATTTTATTTAAACTTTAAATAACAACTTAGATGAATAAGTATAAAGCACGATTTATTTGCTTAAAAATTATTTTTTTTTATTTAGGGCGGATCAAAAGCTATAACAAAAGTTTACAGCTAAAGATAATCATGTGATTATTAGCTTGTTTTAAAAAGTTAAAAAATAAAAAAGTTGTAGTCTTTTAAAAGTGGAACAAATTAGGTTCACCCCTCGCTTCACCCTGTATATAAAACATTATATTTAATTTTAAGTAAAACACTATTATTTTTAGTACCTGAATCAAATAGTGCAGGTGTGATAGGTGGAGCTATCAGTCTGTCATCTAGAACTCGTATTTTCGCAGGAAGTTGCAAGAGCGGTGCACTATACGTATGGTCTTCAGTTGTGGAACTCCCCTCGAGGGACGGGAATAGGGTAGGAATTGCAATGGCTACTAATCTTGTACGAAAGTGACTCGTGAACATCTTCTCTTCAAAGTGGTCTTCACATATCGAGTAACTTTTATATAATTCGATTAGTTTTTCAAATAGGTCCTCTCGATTGGCTTTCATTGCCCATGTTCTGGCTCTGTAAATATTTAAATATATATCCAAAATAAACTAAGAGAAATATATTAATAAATTCCATTAAAATATCATTACCGGGATTATCTCACAGAAAACTAAGAACAGGTAAAGAGATTTAATTAGGCTACTTATTAATATCTAATTGATCACTTAAGAGGATATTTAAATTTTTAAATCAATTTATTTCAAGTGTTTCTAAATGGTTTAATTTAATGCCTTTATTATAAAAATGTGAAACAATTTTTGCATAAACGATTGATTTTCAGAAAAAAATATGTTTTGTAGAATTATTTTTGTTTTTAGTATAACTATTGTAATGTTTTAAATAGCTTTTTTTTAAACTACGGCCCGTTTGACCAATATACAATTTTTCCACAATTTAATTTATTTAAAAAAGGATAATTTCCTGACCGTAACAGAATTTTATATAAATACCGAACGGAAAGCGGTAGAACAGCCTTAACCTAAAGTCGGTTTACCTAAAAATAATGATTTTTTTAATTGACTATAGAATTATGTACTACTCGTAATAATAACACTAAGCAATATGTATGAACAAGTATCATTTACTATTTTCCATTTATTTTATGTCTTAAAATATACGGACCTCTGGTTTACAACTTTCTAGGTAAGCTACCAATTCTATTCATCCGTAGGCGTGTTAGTAGCATTATAAATGCGCATCCTTGGTTCTTTAGATCTGGCGCATACTGTATCTATTTGCTTCCAATTAATATTTGTTGATATACATATTTTATTATTTCGATTTGCAAAAATATTAAACAAAACCACCAATAAACCCTCTTTTACCTTAACAAGTATTAAATTAATAACTACTTAGGTATATATTTATACAGGCCAAACATAGCTTCTCATAATTAAAGAAGATTTTGTATGACTTTAAATTACTTTTACTACAACATAGCAAATAATCGAAAGTTTACTTTTCATCAAAATATGCAAAAAATATCGTGTAGGTAAGTACTTACCGGTTAGCATCCTTAGGAAAACAATAGAATTTCTTCTTACAATTATAACCTTTATTAAAACAATTTCGCACTGCACAAACATGATGATGTCCTGATAGTTTTTTGTCACTCATTTTACTACAGTAAAAAATAAACATAAAACACAAATGTTCAAAAGAATTACAAATTAAACACAAAAATATACGCACGGCTATGTCCGCTTAACGTAAAATAAGTAATACCGATCTCCCGACTGCACGGCAAAGACATCTTTTCCCCGAAAAGGCGGAGCATAAAACCTGCGCGAAGGGATCGACGCAAACCGTTCCCGCCAAGAGAGTGTTCTAGCTGGATATGAATAAGCTGTGACATTATTTTGTAAAATTTAAGTCAATTAGAACAAGATCATCGTGGGACCTGTATAGATCCTGATAAATACGTATCCTTTTTATCAAATAAGCACTTTAATATAAGAAGTGCAAATAAGAACTTCGATGAATTCCTGGTACTGATGAAAGCATACAAACTATCTACTTGTGATATTTTTGTTTTAAGTGATTGTTTTCAAAGTGCAGCCGTAAATAATCTGAACATTCCTGGTTATACCACTATACACAATGGAGGCGACTACAACAGAAATGATGGTATTATAACATTAATCAAATCCGATCTTAATTATAACTAATGAAAAATTTAATATATGTGGGATTTCCCTATCTATAATAAATCTATCAATTCTTGGTGTATCCTTCAGAATAATAGCATTGTACAGACCTAACCCAAGTAACTTGACTTCGTTCATTAAGGAGCTTGATATATATTTAGACCAAATTAAACAGAATATTAAAATTGAATTATTATTCGGTGACATTAACATTAATTTAATGAATGAGAATGAGTTAAATGTAAACAAATATCTTTCTGTGCTTGCCAAACATGGTTTTGTACCTTATATTTTAAATCCTACCCACATTACTGACTACTATCCGGTCTTATTATAGGTAAATTCTAAATTAAACACAAAAATTAACTTAAACTTCGATGAAAAAGTAATTACCAAAATTGATAAGCAAAAATTAAAAACCATAATGAAAAATGCAACTGATAATTTTTTGAGTCAGTTCAGTAAATACATCGATAACTCAAAAATTAACTCAATTAGTGTAATAAATAATTTTGGAAAGATTTTTGAAAAACGTCTGAAAACTCGATTATTGAAATTTTTTGATCACAATAATATATTACATAAACAGCAGTTTGGTTTTTGCTCTGACAAAGCAACCAGTGATGCTATGTGCTCAGTTATTAAGGACATTACAGAGTGTTTAGATGACAATAAAAAATGTATAGCAGTTTTTTTGGATCTCGCTAGAGCTTTTGACACGGTCAACCATGGCATAGTGTTGGATTTTTTTAAGAGTTACCTCACAAATCGGGAATAATGCGTTAAAGTTAACGATGCGATAAGTGAACCTGAGATTGTAAAAATAGGGGTGCCTCAGGGTACCGTCCTCGACCCAGTTCTATTTTTGGCATATATCAACACTCTTTTATCGTTATTAAAGGAGGCAACTATTGTATCCTACGCGGACGAGACAGTTATAATATTTCGTGAAAATTCATGGGCTGAAACTAAAGTTGCTGTTCAACTGGGTATTGGAAAAGTTAAAAGGTGGCTCAATGAGTATCAACTTTCGTTAAATGCAAACAAAACAAATTATCTCGCCTTTACTTTAACTGAAACTAACAGACCAGACTTCACTAGTATAAAAATCACAGGTATGCAAGATGAAATTAAAGAGACAAACGAAGTCAAGTACTTGGGCATAATTATTGATAAAAATCTAAAATTATCTGACGGGAATGGTGAGAAAGCTTCTACAAATTCTATCAACTACGAGAGTTTCTTTCGAGAAAATTGTTATTACTAATTTACAAGTCTTTAGCTGATTCACTCTTCCGTTATGGAATCTTTATATGGGGAGGATTGTACAGAAACTAAATATTACGCAAAATTATATTCTAAAAATTATACTCATGAAACAAAGACGATATCACACAAACTTATTATATACAGAGAATATTTGCAATAGTCAATCACTTTATTTTCATAGCTTATGTATATATGCTTTTAAAAACAATTTCTTCCAGAATAGCTTACTTACCAAACCCGCAGTACTGCTAATGAGTTCCTAACTACCCGAAGATTTAGAAAAAATATTAGTCATAGATTTTTTATTCATACTTTGCCAAAAGCATGCAATTTATTAGAGTACGATTCAACTAAGAAAAAGCCACACATCATACCTGACAAAGGCCGCAATAATTTGCCTCTCTCTCAGGTTCATCCCATTTAAGCGTCAGTGGCGTTTTGGCGATTTTTCCGTTTTTCTAATATAGAGATATAATTGTTTAATAATTTGGCAAAACGCTGTACGACTGCCGCATGGTCCAGAATATAATTCGAACAGAATCTATCGCGTAAACGTGGATCCCTTATTATTGTGAGCCAAACTTCGGCGTTGCCAAGTTTTTACTTACGAACAAAAACATGGGTTCATCGGAAGAAAGTGAAGACAGCGAGAGTACTATACTCTGTTTTTAAACTAGGAGGAGCGAATTGAAAAGACGCATTTACACAGAGAAAAGTAACTAGATTTGTTACTAAGAGCGAGTTTCGAAATATAGTCGTGTTCAAAATTTATGAACTAATTATCTTTATCGGCCTTAGTCGGTGAACGGCCAATGAGCGGTTAAGAAACGAATTAATGTCGTAGAAGTAATTTTTTAATTGGTCCCAGAAAACGGTCGCAAATTTCACATTATTGTGATCTGAAGTGTGTGTCTAAAACGAAATGTCACTGTCAAATTAAATTCAATATGGTTGTTGATTGATGTTAGAAATACTTTTTTCTTGCTTTTGAAATCGACTTTTTGAGAATAACTATGATCTTTTTAAAATGGATATTAAATATTTAAGAAAATTGTTAATGGAATATCCAGATGTAGCCAGGCTAGTATAAAATATAAAGATCTGTTTACATTTTTAAGGATATATTTGTTATAGGTATAAAAAGTAAAAGTTAATCAGTGAATGACAGGTGGATCACACAGTAACTGATATCTCTTCTATGAGTAATGTGGATATTATGGCTTATTTAGTGTTAACTCATGGTTAATGCGCTAGAGGGCAAATAAGGGCATTCAAAAGTTTACAGGGCTATGAGTCAGAATTTGTTTTGAAAACTGGAATCAACATTTTCATAACACTACATGTCAACATATATTTTTTAAAGTGAACTATTCATACATACCTATGTATTAATTTTAAGTATTTTTAAAATATTTTTTGTGAAAATAATGTTAACTCATTGTGCCAAATTAAGATTATCCTTAAAGTAGTAGATGGTGTTTTAAATGTTATAACAATTTTGTAAATAGTTTTATTCTATTCTAATAAATAAAATTAGCTTGAATATTTAGTTACATTTTAATCATTTTGGTTAGAAATTCATCAATTTTTAGTTTTAAAAAAATCAGTAATAAAATTATTTTTTTCTAAAATACTTCGGAATTCATCTCTTCATGGTAATATCCCATCTTTTTTACCTTCAAAACCAATAATGCATTTTCTACAAAACCTTCAGAATCAGCATGTAAAATAATAAGGTGTCTTCCCTTTCTTGTGAGGCTTTTCAGGAATTGCTACCTTTAATAGTACTCAGTGTAGAAGGATCCATAATTGTAGATTTTCAATACAATTGCTTACTGAAGAACTAGTATTTACGAAATAAAGTAAAAAACTAAGTAATGGATGAGATATCAAATTATCAAATGTCAGAACTGTTAACAATATCAATTATTAGCTGATGTTCATGCTAAAATGTAATGTGTGAAACTGACTGTAATCTGACCAATCAGAAGGCTACAGAATTGCTAACTTAAATTCAAATCGCTCCTCTTAGTTTAAAAACAGATTATAATAGTTCATTAACGGACGAACTAGGATGTACTCCTCTAGTTTCACTTTTTGCATAAATAACTATTATTTTAATTGTAATAAAAATCTTAAATTACAAAATTGTGTTGCTATTTTTATTTACTTCCCACTGAATGTTTTGCAATTCTAAAGTCGAAAAATATATGTAATTTTATTTTAGTTATTTAGGTAATATACAAATGTTTAAATCATTAAAATTTAACTTTTTAATCCATTAAATGTTTTTTGGTGGGAAACTGCTTTAATTCTTATTTAAATAAGAGCTTACGCCACTGGTATATCGATCTGGAGCAACGGAGAAGGAATATTTTAAAGTGAGATAGACGATCACTAGTTGATGACGCCCGTGGCTTTTTCTAACGGCCAATTTCATAATCGATAGCTAAAGTGGCCTTTAATGAAAGGAGACTTTAAGCCAAAGTGTCCTTTAATATTGCTTTTGACGTCATTCGATTTCATAATTTAGTTTTAAGTGCCCTTTTGGGAAAGTGAACTTTTAAGAAATTTTATATTGGTGGCTAACCTGAATATTGGTATATTTGACATAAAATAGAAATAGTGAGTGTTCTATGAAACAAATATGTCACAAATTTGGCGCGTTATTTGACGTTATTTTCTTTTGTTTATGTTCCAATTGATCAGGAATATTTTAAAGAAATTCGTAAAAGTTAAAAATTGTGTTAAAAATGGAAAGTGTTAAAAAAGTTCGCTCTAAAAATTTTAGTAAAGAGGAAGAGCTGTTGTTATTGCAAGAAATTGCAAAATTTCAGCACATAATCGAGTGCAAAACGACAAATAAAATTAACAATAAAGATAAAGTAAAAGTTTTTGTTACTTTATTGTATATGGTGCCATGTGGATCATGTAGTTATTATACATTTTTTATTTGTAATTATATTTGTAGGACGAAGCTTGGCAAAAGGTGTTAAATGGGTTCAATTCAAAAAACCTGGAAGTTCGGGGCATGACACAAATAAAGTCGAAGTATGACAATTTAAAAACTAGGACTCGAAAAGAGGTAGCTAAGGAAAAGGCATATTTAAGAGGAACTGGTGGTGGTCCTGCGGTTAAAAAAGAGTTAGATCCTATAATTGAAGCTACACTAAATATAATTAATATTAAAACGGTGGTTGGGTTATCTAACATGTTTGATAGTGATGCCAGTACTAGTGTAAATATTATATTGTATTAAAATTATTTTCTTCTTTGGTGAATAATTCATTAGCAAATTTTTGGTGATAGTACCTATATACTTATATTTTTATTTAAATACGATTAATACATAAATTTATTTTTGTAGGTTTTTATACCAGAGAGGATACCATCACCTGAAAAATTAGAAGAACAAATATCTGTAAGTTATTTACATTTAAAATACAAAATGTTTTGTAAGTGAACATTATTTTCCAGGATTCAGAAATACTGTATATTCAAACAGTAGAAGACACGGATGAATATTCTTCAGTCTCCACGAAGTCCGTAAGTTATTAATTAAAATAATTTATTTAAATTTGATCACGCAGTTGCTTCTACAATATAATTTATTATAAATTTATTTTTCAGCCAACATTATTGGAATTTAATAAAGAAACTTGTGAAATTATAAACTTGCCTAGTACACCCCATTATGAAACAGCTTTAACTACCCCACTTAAAGAAAAAGTAAGTTTTATTTTTGTTATATCAAGAAGGCTAATTCAATTTTTTTATAGAGAAAATGGGAAAGTTCATCTGTAAAAATAGAGGCAAATAAAAAATCAGATTGGAGCAGATATGTGCCAAACAATATAAAAAGTAAGCCACACGATAAATTAAGGCCAACTGTTAAGAATCCTGTACATTCAGCAAAGGAAACATATTACAGAACCAAGGTTGACCTGCTTCAGAGAACCTTTGATTCTGAGGAGAAGGACAGAATAAGAAGAAGAGAGAGAGAAGAAGAGGAGCATGAAAAAAAATTATTATTATTAGATTTAGATATTCAAATTAAAAGAAACCAATTAAATGAGTAAGCTCAATGTATTTTATTATTTAATAAACAATTACAATCTAGCAAAGTATTCATTAATTAATAGTGTTTTAATATTTTCTGGAATATTTTCATTGTTTTCCATGGGTAGCAAATTATCATTTTCAGCTTCAACTTCATCTTCAGGAAAATTGTCATTCATGTCAATAGCGATATTATGAAGTACTGCAGTTGCAACCATTACAGTCATTGTTGTCTCTATTTTTAATCTCATCCCAAAACGCAATATAGGAAATCTTCTTTTCCACAATCCATATTGACGTTCCACTACATTGCGGGTCCTTATTATAGATTCGTTATATAAATTTTCAGCTGGTGTTAAAGTTTGCTGCAATTTAGTCATAAGATATGGCTTTAAGCCATATCCACTATCTCCTACCAACATGTAATGCCCAAACATACCATTTTCAAATTTTTCCTTTAAGGTACTACTGTTAAAAATAGTTTGATCATGTACGGATCCTGGCCACCTTACAACAATATCCCTTATTTTCAATTTTGCATCACTAACAGTTTGAACATTCAATGCAAAAAATGATTTCCTAGATCTAAATATTTCTGCATCATGGCCACCAGGAGAGTCTATTTTAATCAGGGTACAATCAATCGCTCCAATTGTCTTTGGGAATGATGCAATTTTATAAAAATCATCAACAGCTTTTTTCATCTCATGAGAATGTTTGTACATGTAGATATTTTCAGGACTCAAAGATGCAATAGAAGTGGAAACCCTTTTAATTATCCTGCTAGCTGAAGCTCTTGACACTCCCATGAAATCTGCCACTGTTATTTGCATATTTCCTGATGCATAAAACCTCAATCTTAAAAGAATTTTTTGTAAAGGTGTAATACATCCACCCCTGAAATAAATAAGCTTTCTTTATTTGCTATTCCACTACAAATTTTACTCAACGCACCTGTTAGTAGGCAATGCAATTCGTTCTTCTATTTTATTTAAGAGACATAAAACTGTCTCTTTTCTTAATCTGAATCTTTGATAAAAATCTAACTCATCATATTTTTCAAAACAATCTGTCCTCTGCCTGTATATCTTGGGTCTTCTAACATATATGAATTCTTCTTCTTCAGATGAACTTGAGCTAGACGTGAACATATTCATAGTTATGCCCTTAGATTAAAGATTTAATCTAAGGTTATGCCTTTAGAGTAAAATAAATGTAAATATATGAAAATAAAAGTTAAACCAAAACAAATAAAATTTCTCAACTCAAATCACACTCAAATGACTTAAATAATAGGGTTATGTTATCCTTAAAGGAAACTTTGTCACCTTAAAGCCCAAAAATTGTGACTTTGGTTTAAAGGAAACTTTTCATCAAAAAGGATCCTTTAAGTTTGTTATGAAATCAAACTATTAAGTTAAAAGATACTTTAAAATTAAAGTGTCCTTTAAATTGATTATGAAATTGGCCGTAAGTTGAATCGTACTCTACCGTTAGATATTAGGCTCACCACTAGGTTTAAACGTTTTTCCAATGTATCTAGAAATTTTATCTTTCATAATTATATTGAATTTGTAAAAATTCTAGAATATAAAATTAAAAAATAAAATAAATGTATAGAATAGAATATGTTGGTAGGCACTTAAATAATAACTAAAATAATAACAAAAAAAAGTATTTATCTAATTAATCTATATTTGCTCTTAAATGTAAATTTTTAATTTATATTTAATGTAATACAACAAAGTATATCGTTTAGAGTGGCACAACACAAGTGTTCAATCACTTAGGTGCTTAACTCTGGACGATTTTCATTTGTTCTTTCCACTAGTTTTTCTACTTTTCATCTTTATTACAATTTTCTACAGTTTATGTTTTCTTCATGGATTCATCTATACATATCTTGTTCATTTTATCTTTATTTTTGTTTTTATTAATACTATTTATATAAGGCATGTATAATTGTTTTAAATCTGAATTATTTTAGATTTCACATTGTTAATTTGTAAGAAAATTGTAAATATTGTTAAAGGGCTTATGTCCAAATAAATAAAAATCTGATGTGTCAAAAAAAATATATTACCTAAAATAAAGTCAAAACTACCTATTTTTAGTTGTACCCAAATATCTTCATAATTTATTATTACAGGGGTAGCAATTGTCATGAGCTGAATGTTGTTTCAAATTGTTAACAGAATTCCACATCCACGTTCACAATTTAACTCCTGGTATAGACAGTCACAACGATAGATAAAATAAGAATTAGAGAATAACTGAGAATTACCAATATAGTCATTAAACCACGATTCTGTTAGAGCAATCACTTCGTAATCACAGGCACTGGAGTTTAGAAAGAGCTCGGATTTTGTTCTTACACTTCTTTCATTCTGATAATAAATATTTATAGTGGTTTTATTTTTATTTTTACATGTAACAGTGAAAATTTGGGATAACAAACATATTGTGATTAATATTAATGTAACTTGAGGAATTAATTACATCCTGACAGAGAGATTTAATTAAATACATTTTTTCGGCATAAGGAAGCGGACTATGAGTGGTTATAGGAACAAATTTAATTCTTTTTGAGGTTTTGATTATATATTTTAAATTCAATTTTTTATAACTTTTATTTTAATAAAAAACTTAATAGTAAACAATATCTATAAGGCAATTCATTTTTTCGAATTCAAATCAGATTTATTTAAACAGAAATAGTAGAAGAACGTGTAAATCCGGACCTGCTTTTCCGCCATTTTAGTAAGAAGTGCAAAAGACATGTCTACCGATTCCAATTTTGTATATCAAAGATAGTCACAAATGACTTATCCTTAGGTTTCTTTATCAATGTGTTGAATATTCTACCACGCCACTGGCGGCATTTATTGTCAGTAAAAATGATATACGCAAGCTTGACATGTGCGGGCATTTTTGGGATTACGTAAGATGAAGAAACAATAAGTTATAAATACAAATGAAACAAACTAGAAAGCAAAACTATATGAAATAAATAAAAAGCAAAATAGATATCAAATATAAAATTTAGTAAATAAAAAACCGGAAAAATAAAGCAATTGACTATTTAGTGACCTTGATGGATCTGCATAATGGGTTCGTGGTAGATGCGCTCCTGGCATTTGCGCTTTCCACGAAAAGTGTGGCACTTGCGCTCGGGTATCTTTTTCGAGCATACCTGTTTTTTAAGAACGGTCAAGAGAGTGGCACTTGCGCCCTGTTTGTACCCAAGTGGGTAGAATAAATAAAAGAGCAAGGTTAAGCAGGTAAGTAAACTTAAAATATTAAATAATGATAATGAAAATGTGTTTAAATACATTTTACCTATTACTATTATATCTTTATAAAATATTTAAGAGATTTTACCCTTAATCTCATTTAGCAGGTATTACATTAGTTGTTTTCTGGATTTTATTTGCAGAGTTTTAGTGTTAATTTTATTAAACATTCTACAATAGCTGTTGTTTCCTGGATTTGATTTAAAAGATTTTTCGAGGGTTTTACCCTTAATCTCATTAAACAGGTGTTGGTGTATAGGTACTGTTTTTAAATAAATATATAGTTCCCCAGTTCATAATTGACACTGAGGTAATTACACGTTTATTAAAATTTATATTTAATTTTTACGAGGATTTTTGTTATTTCCGTGTCATGACTGATGTAGCTGAAGTTACAGTTACAGAACAAAAATAAATCTTTGACTATTTATAATGGCTATCAATATAGACTAAAAAAGAAAACAAAGTTAAATGTACTTGGTTATGCATAAAAGAAAGTGCGAGGTTCCTTAATGACAACTTTGAAAAATATTGTCATTTCAAAATCAGGTATGTGAAATATATTTGACTTACTTCAGACGTTGGGACAGACAAACGAGGAGACTACTTTTATTATTTATTTTTGTATTAGCTTTACAACGAAATCAAAAATACAAGACAAGACCCTCATCGCTGACAATTGACAGACCTCGTTCGTTACCGTGGGTGCGATTTTCGAACTCGTGCGATGCGCTGTCGCATAATCTTTCGCACGAAATTCGAAGTACACGTATTTTCGAACCATCGTGCACGACACAATTTTGATCGTATACGATGTGACATCGAGTGGTCTGAGGTAACCGATCACGAAGCGTGTAACCGATCATCACCGTACGGACGGTACCAATTTTGTGTCAAGTGTCACTAGTGTGTATTTTTTTGTCGTCAGAGAAAAGTTTTTGTGTGTATTATAAATACTTATTAAAGCATGAATTTTAATGACCAAATTAATTTAAATGGATTAGGGGCATTGGAAGACGCAGAAGTATTGTTCAATAGGCAAGGAAGACGTTTTAGGCCTTGGGTTGATCCGTTTGAGGATATGGGGGATGAGGAATTTAGAAAAACTTATCGCTTCACTAAAGATCTTACTGAAAATTTGGTTGATACCTTGACGCCACACATGGTAGTCCCAACTAGAACATCTGCACTAAGTGTTGAGAAAAAAGTATGATTTTGTTAGGATTTTAAAGTATTTATCTCTGGGTCTGAAACTATTCCTTTAAATGGCTAAATAGAAAGGAGTGGTTTTTACCGAGATATTTTTTTATAGGTTGTATTTATTTACATTTTTTGAAACATCCTACCATCCCTATTTAACCTATGGTCTTTATTAATCTTTTTAGGTTTTAGTTGCCCTCCGATTTTTTGCATCTGGTAGTTACCAGAGAGATGTGGGTGGTTTTATGAACCACACAATTAGTCAGTCGGCAGTTAGCAATGCTGTTGACGAAGTGGCAAGCGCACTCAATCAGCCTGAAATATTTAACGAATCTATTCATATGCCACAAAATTTGCAAGAATGTTTTACAGCACGCAATAGGTATTTGCTTTTCTATTGGTAGTATACATATACCTTTACATATTTATTATTTTAGATATTATGAGAAGTTCCGATTTCCAGGGGTACTGGGTGTTATAGACTGTACCCATGTGGCTATCTATCCACCAAGAAATAATCCGGCTTA